GTAAAGAAAAATAAGTAAGTTGTTACTAATATATGTTGTTTGTGAATTTTTTCCAGTACAGTAACTTTCATGTGACTTTTTCCATTTTGTTATGTAGGAAAAAACATTTCAATGATGAAAATTCCGTTATCAATCCATGCTTTTATTTTTGTGACATTGCAATCTCTACAAAACAATGGTGGTATGAGTTGTTTATTCCAAACGAATGTTTGGAAGATACAGTAAGTTATTTTATATGTTTTTGTTTTTAAGATTATTTTGTTTATTACTACAGTTGATTTTGTCATTTTTCTCTTTTTTTGTAGTATATTGATGTGTGTTTCTATTATTTAAGAAAGTTGTTAAGATATGGAGAAGGGATAAACATAAAGGCTACAACCACAGATTTCCCGTTTGATAGCCAAATGAGAGGTCTTTACGCCGACTTTTGCCAAGATAAGTCAGCTCTAAAAAAGCAGACTTCTCTTCTATCATATGTTATTGGGTTGTATATGCCGTGCAACACAAATTGGAACCTTGTTGACCATGTGCTTATTCCAATTAGAATGTCCAATTCAGCTCATTGGATTTTGTGTCATTTTGACATTCAACATATGTGTCTTAATGTATATAATTCGTACAACAAGGTTGTGAGAAAGGCATTAGTACTTGATGCTATTAAACCATTTTCTGATATTATTCCTCATCTTCTCTTTCATACTGGCTTCTTTGAGGGAAAGGGCATTTCAGAAGAAGAAGCTTTGAAACCATTAGTTGTAAAAATGGTTCCAAAACTTCCACAACAAAATAATGGGTAAGTTTATTTCTGAAGATGTTTTTTTTTTTTTCATCTGACATTCTAGTATGTAATTATCTAAAGTACTTTTCATTATTTCATACAGTGGAGATTGTGGAATCTATGTAATTAAGTATGCCCAGTACTTCATTCATGGAATGCTAAATGAGATGCCAAAGTCTTTTAATGTTCAACATCTTAGAAGAAATTTGGTACCTCAACTATATGTTTATGGAAAGAAGAAGCAAGAAGAGGAATATGATACAGACAATGAATGGGTGTCAAAGGAAATGGAGCAGCTATATCTTGATGTGATAGAGAAGTAGGTGATCCTGATGTGATAGAGAAGTAGGTGATGGTGAGGAAGTGAAGAAACATGTCTTGTTTTGGTAATGACGTGCCTTCATTTGTAATGACTGATTTGATTTGGCTGGTAGTTTAGTTTTGATGCTTTGTATATAGTAACTGATTTAGGGAAAAGTGGCAATGTTAATGGTGGTAGACAACTTCAATTGTTAATGACCAATTCTTTTACAACATCAATGGAGCAGGGATTGGTGATGTAGCTTCTATTATTCTTTAAACACAATAGTTCTTGTATGTCAAAAAAGTGAAATAATGTCACTTTTTCGGCAGAAAAGTGACATAATGTCACTTTTTCAACAGAAAAGTGACACTGCGTCACTTTTTTACCGTTATGGATCTCTTGCTTTTGCTTGAAGATTTGTTAGATCTTAAGTTTGTGTTAGATTTATTTTTGAGAGAACTTGTACTAAGCTCTAAAGAAAAGCAATTAAGCTTGTGACTCCAGCAATTAAGCTCGTGACTCCCGAGTGGGGGGCACGAGCGAAGGAGCTCCTCACTCAGAGCTGGTGACCAGGAAAAAAGTGACACTGCGTCACTTTTTTTAACAGTGTCACTTATGTTTTAACAAAAGCAATGGAGACAGAAAAGTGACATAATGTCACTTTTTTCAACAGAAAAGTGACATAATGTCACTTATTTTTTAACAAAAACAGTATTATTTGTCGAATTTTGAACACACTTGCAATGTCAAGGAATAATGTCACCTTTTTAACAATAACTTAAACACAAATGTCACTTTTTCGACAGAAAAGTGACATAATGTTATTTTTTCGACAGAAAAGTGACATAATGTCACTTTTTGTAACAATGTCACTTATTTTTTAACAAAAGCAGCTTTATTTGTGGAATTTTGAACACACTTACAATGTTAATGGAGGAAGGAATAATGTCACCTTTTTAACAATATGTTGCCTGACTATAGCTTTAAAGACAATAGTTTCTTGTATGTCCAAAAAGTGACATAATGTCACTTGTCAATTAACCAAATGTGGATCCAATGTCAATGGAGTATGAATACATTGTCACATGCACATACTTACAACAAAGAATTTTTTAACAAAATCCATCAATTTCTACTGTCACTTTTTTCTAACAAATTCACATATATAATAAATTTCAAAATCGACATTTAGCTTAAAGTATTTTTACAATTCTTAGAATATTTGAATTGAAAAACGAACAAAACAAAAAAATCAAATAATCTAGTTTCATATATCTTCTAACTTCCTTTTCTTTTGTGGTTTCTTTTCACCTTTGGCGGATTTTGACATGATCTACGATTGTGACCATAATTCCCACATCTTCCACATTTTGCGCTTTGAGTTTTCTCTCCTTTAGATGGTATTCTTTTTTCTTTAGGTTGTCCAGATTTTCTTTTTGGGTTAGGAGCCAAGATTATTCTTGCTCTTACCTCATCTGGTACATTCCACTCATTATGATCTCCTAGTGGAAAAATTGATGCACTATATGTTTGAATATACATATTTGTTGTATAAAATACGGAACAATATGAATATGAATCCTCCTTTATCTTTGCAATAACCGCAAGTGCATGTGCACATGGAATCTTGTCCACTTGGAAATAGTTGCATGTGCATGTTCTTTCTTCCATGTTCACCAAATATGAGGCATAACCATCGTTAACATGGTACAATATTGAACTTGAAGTTGATACCTATGTGCATAATATAACAAAATAATCTATCAATAAATTTGTCACTATTTTATATGAAAGGAAGATTTAAAGTGAAAATTCAATATGAATAGAGGATACAAATCATGTTACAATAGAAATCTTGATGTGCAATAACAAAACAGCAAGTTTATAACTTTTTACCTTCATTTTCTTTGACTCCACAGAATTTTCTCTCAGTTTTTTCTCTTGCTTGGTGGTGAGTATTGTGAAGGTTGCTCGTGCATCATTTATATGTTTCACAAACCATTCTTGTAACAAATAGCTTAACGATTCCAATAAAGGCTCTATTGGACAACCTTTCATTGCTTTTGTTACCGAATTTACCGATTCAACTATGTTTGAAGTCATTGTAGAAAATCTGTTGTTTGTCATGTAAGCCCTCTACCATTTCTCATAACCAATATCTTTCTGCACAAAGAAAATTCAAAATATTAACAGAAAAGGTGACTTTCTATCATGTTTTGGACTCACTTTCAACACATACAAACTTTTTAAACAAAAATTGACATCATGTCACTATTAACAAAAAAGTGGCATTCTGTCACTCTTTGGTTGAAAAGTGACAGAATGTCACTTTTTGTTTAAAATCACTTTTAATAAAAAGTATCAACACATATAAATTTTTCAAACAAAATGTGACATATCATGTCACTATTAACAAAAAAAGTGACGTTCTGTCACCCTTTGGTCGAGAAGTGACAGAATGTCACTTTTTAAACAAAAAGTGACACCAATTATTATAGAAGTTAACAATGAGAATATACCAAATGTGATCGAATTCCTGTATTGATTTCATCAAGTTGTTTCATATGGAACTCAAAATCAGTCTTAGAATATGCTCTTACAGCCCTATTGAAATGTTCTGCAATATTCTTTCCCCTTTTTTTCCCACCAAAAGAAGACTTCAAGTTCTTTAGTAAGTAATAGGAACATAATCCGTGCATTGCATTCTCATACACTTTGTGAATTGCATTTTTTATGCTTGCATGTCCATCTGAGATTATACACAAACCTTCTCGCTCACCATATGCTTCTTTTAACATACTTAAGAACCACTCCCAAGAATCATTGGTTTCTAAATCACCAACTCCAAATGCTAATATAAAGATACTGTTGTTGGCATCTTACGTACATGCAGTGAATAGTGTTCCGCCATAGTTGCCTTTTAAGAATGTAGCATCTATTACTATAACTGGTCTACAATACTTCCACCCTTGAATAGATGCTCCTAATGCCATGAAGAGGTACTTGAATTTGTTGTCCTGATATGTCTCAATTTTTGTAAATGATCCAGGATTTGTTTGTTCTATCATGTACAAGTATTCTGGAAGCTTTTCATATGACTCTGTAGGATCTCCTCTCACTAATTCCAATGCTTTCTCCTTAGATCTCCAAGCTTTCTCATAGCTCATCGACACTCCATAGGTATTCATCATGTCACTTATAATGTCTGCAGGAGTGTATGTTGTTTTTGTTGAGATATACTTGTACATGATGAATTCTCCTACTATTGAGCTAGTTGCTTGACGATGATCTCCCAAAATGATGTTATTTGAGCATATATGGACATTTTTTATATACCTTACCTTGAACATATCGGTTCCACCAAGTTTTGAAGCTCTAAAAGTCCATTTACACTTATCATCAATACATTTCAACACGTACTCTTTCTTGTCCGACTTACTTACCTTGAATTGAAAGTTATTGTGTATCGCATATATCGAAATACTTCTCTTAACCAATGTCTTGTTCTTGAACACCTTATCTTTTGAAATTCCATCCATAGTGACCATTGAAATGATATCACTTCCTCCTTCATTCGTTGTTTCTCCAACTTCCGACATACTATTGTATACATCAATCGCAATTTCTTCCATACTAGGTAATTTTTGAGCTGATGTCACAGAATTATCAGTTACAGCTTCACAAAATTGCAATTGTAGCATATCATTTTTTTCATAATTGACAGCCTCCAAACGTTGTATATTATTAACAAATTCAGTTTCGTGACTTTTTGATACCGTTGTCACATCTATGCACAATGGAAAGCTTGCAAGATCTTTATCCTTTCTCTTCAACTCCAAATAAAATGTTAGTGAAATATCATCTGAAATCTCCATTAAAGGCAGGTTTTTCTTCACTCTATATTATATTTTTACTCTCTGAGTTGATGCACTTACTTTCATCACAGAACATATCATGCACTCAAGGCGGTTGTACGTGCAATCCATCGAGACAACAATTCCAGTCATTTTGTCACTTGTGTACTCATTATCTTGTGTCCACTTGCCTCCATAACAAATGAAGACATTGATTTTATCCATACCTACAAAAATATTACAAAGAGATTGTGTGAGTTTTTTTTTTTTTAAGTGACCGAGTAATATGCATCTAGTTATTTGGCCAAAAAGTGATTCTGTGACTTTTTCTAAAAAAAGTGACAGCATGTTAATTTTTCACATTCTCCTTCATCAAACACCATGCATACATCAATGTACTTGATTCAAAGTTTTCTTTTTCATGTTTATTACTAGAAAACAGGGCTTGAATATGTATCTTAATAATTCCAAAATGCTTGACTATTTTTGGAAAAAAGTGACAGAATGCCACTTTTTCGGAGAAAAGTGACACAATGTCACTTTTTTGGGGGAAAAAGTGATAGTGGATTACATGAGCAAACACATTACATGCATCCGTGTAGTGGATTCAAAGTTTTTTTTTTCATATGTAGTACCAGAAAATAGAGTATGAATTGGTATGTTTAAACTTTCAGAAAAGCACACGTATACATCCGGTTAATTGCTCCAATGATAAAGTGTGACTGAATTGGAGAAAAAAGGTCACACAATGTCACTTTTTTTTTTTAAGAAAAGTGACAGAATGTCACCCTCTCCATGTGCATCCATGTAATTGATTCAAAATTTTCATTTTCATATGTATTCTCAGATAAGAGGGCATGAATTGGTATGTTTAAACTTTCAAAAAAGCACACATATGCATCCGGTTAATTGTTCGAATGATAAAGGGTGACTGTTCTTGTATAAATGTAACAAATGTCACTTTTTTTAGAAAGGTGACAGAATGTCACTCTTCATGATCAAACATCTTGCAAGCAAATGTATGTAGTCGATTCAAAGTTTTGTTTTTCATATGTATTACCAAAAAACAAGGTATGAATTGGAATATTCAAACTTTCAAAAAAACAAATGTATGCATCCGATTAATTGCTCCAATGATAAATGGTGACTGTTTTGGAGAAAAGTCACAAAATGTCACTTTTTCTAAGAAAAGTGACAAAATGCCACTTTCTCACCTTCTTCTTTGAGCAAACACATTGCAAGCATCAATGCAATTGGTTTAAAATTTTCTTTCTCATGTGTTAATTACCAGAAAATAGGGCTTGAATATGTACGTTCAAATTTCCAAAAACTCACACGTGCATATCTAGCTAATTGCTTAAAAGAGATGCTGTGACTTTTTTTTGAAAAAAGTGATAGAATGCCACTTTTTCACATTATCTTTTTGTCAAACACCTTGCAAGCATCAATGTAATTGATTCAAAACTAATTTTTCATACACAATCCACTCAACTTCAACAATTTTATTTTCATAAATGTTAATTCAAACAAAAACGAGATGGATAATGGGCTATAATCATTGAATCCAAAACATAGAAATACCTGTAATTTTTTTTGTGTTTTCATTGCTGATCTGCTCGACTTTTTTTCCAGATTTTTCAATGTTTTTGTGGATGGTTTCCTCGATTTGAAGAATGAACAAACTTTGTTTATGTATTTGTGGAAGATTTCCTCTTTTTCCTTTCAATTTTCCTTTGATTTTTGCACAATGGAGGCTGATTTATGAGGATTGACGTGAGTTTAGGTTTTGAACATATATTTTACGTTCAATTTAAGGTAATTGCCATTTAATCCAAGTTTATAATGTTTTTTCAAAACAACCCAAAAATATAGGGTACTTTTGTAAGTACCCCTTGAAAATTTGCCCCCAACAACATAAAGTGGGTTTTAGTAGGCTATCTATCAGGAGTATCTTCAAAGTGGGCCAGTAGGAACTGATTTGCAACATCTAAAAAGCCCATGGGTTAATTTGCATAAATCAAAAAATTTGGTGATTGATTTACAATCAACATTAAAATTTAGGGACTGATTTGCGTAAACTTAACAATTCAAGGGAAGAATTGCATATTCCAAAAAAATATGGTACCTTTTGCTAATCTAGAAAATTCAGGGCCAAATTTTCTAAAACCAAAAAATATAAGGACAAAATTGCAGCAAATTCACATTAGCGCTTGTTTGGGGATGGGAATGAAGAGTGCCTTAACCGGAGATCTTAAACCATCCCAAGAGCCATCAGGTAAAAATTAATGCTGAGATGCAACAAGCCATGGAAGACTTGGTTGTGGAGTCAATCGCAACAAGCCATGGAAGACTTGGTTGTGGAGTCAATCGCAACAAGCCATGGAAGACTTGGTTGTGGAGTCAATCTATCAAGTAAGTGGGTCCAAGTGAAAAGATAACGTAAGGGATAAAATTCAAATTGACATGGATTACATGGGATTGGGAGATTACACGACCAAAGTAGTGGTAAACTCACCATCTGCATTGAGTCGATTGAACACGAAGGCCCTCTAGGTTGCAACTTTAACTTATGAGTTTAGTATGAGGACAATAGATTACGCTGCTGAGGCTTTAGGACCATGGAGATGAAATTAATATGAACATCCTAGTAAAATTAGGGTCAATAATTTTTACATTCTACATCGTACAGTGACTTCGAGTCAGATGATAAGAATAATATCACTTATTGACTCGTGATGACCAAATCCTGAATAAGTTCACATGTCCCAGTTCTTTGTTTCAAGATTTCATTTCTTGTCTTACGATGAGAAAGCTTTCATTTATTTTCTTTAGCTAGAGGTTCAGCCTAATCAATCACTTAAGTCTGTATTTTTTATTTATTGCTAATAAAATATACCACCTAGTGTAAATTTAATTGAAAAATGGATTTGTCTCATAAACACCGTTGCGTCAAGGCATATGACTAGGCTGGACCTCGAACTCGTAAGTTCATTGCAATTATTTAATGTTGTAATTATGGTCATTACTTATTTAATTTTAAAAATATTATTTGTTCTTTTTTATTCCTACATTACTGTTTGTAGAGGAAAAGTATTGTCCAAAAAGAAACGGTTCTACCTTGAAGTCAAGCCGCATAAATCTCTCTCCAAATCCTTCGACATATTTACTTAGAAATCAAATCAAATAGTCATTCCAATATTAGATCTAATACATAATGCAAATGTGAAATCTTTGCTGTCATATGCCTCAGAAACCCTTTTACATGAATTGTGACATATCTAGAGTTTCACGCAAATGTTATGCCACATTATATATAACACAGTCACAGAAAATTTGAATGCCACCGCCCACAACAAATAAGAAAATAAAATTACAATGTTCGCCTATTGGGAAAGTAAGAACAGAAATTCACATTGGTAGAGATATTGTAGATTATGTATCTAAGAGAATTGGAATGCTGGACCAAAGAGTTTAATTTTTTGGGATGGAACTCCAATATCCTACTAGTGATATAAGAGTTAAGGCTAAAAAATTCACGATATAAAAAATATCGGTATTTAACTTCCAAAATGGTTGTACCGACATAAGCAGTTTATGAGGCAGTAAAAGAATTGTCCCTTGATGGAACTTGTAATCATTCGTGTATTATGAAAGAATGAAACATGAATTATCGCTTAAGGGATTGAGATAATGTTGTGCTCCATTTGATGGGGGGTATTGTTAATCCGTTGGAACCTGTAGCAAAAGCTAACATTGACTACATATAGGTAGATGATGTAATTATATGAAATTTAACTACTTTGCACAATAAGTTAACCATCTGAAATGAAACTCGGTTACCGAGCAAACCCAATCTAATCTCCCAAAATGCAAGGATTAATATTTTTTGTCACAAACTTGTTTTTGGTCCAAGTTGATTAATTTATTGTTTAGGGGTATACAGGGATAGGAAATGGGACTAGTTGAGCTGAAATTTTTTCATGTGAGTAGCTTGCAAGCCGAGCTCTTTCGCTCGCCTAGCTCAGATATAAGTTAATTGTTGCAGCTATAAACTTCATAACTCGATGGCACCTGGGGAGGTGGCATGATGTCAAATTCAGGCAGCCCAATCATTCGGATGCCTGAATACAATTTTTTTTTCAATTATATTAAATAAAAATTATTTGGTTATACAAGCTACAAGTGGGGGGATGAACTGCCTTTTTTAACTAGTTAACTCATGCTCGACTCGTCCAAAGTGAGCACAAGCCAATCATATGGTGGGTCGAGGTGAGTTTACACCACTATTGAGGCTTGCTTCACAAAGGGACAAGCATGAATCAATTCATGTGGTGTGCCAAGTCGAGCCCGATGATGATGGACGAGTCAAGCCTTAAAACTCCTAGATCCATGGTTTCGACTTTATTATTGACTATAACCATAGAATTTCATAATATAGGTTGTGAACTTGTAAAGGCCATACTTCAGAGTCAAAAAAAAAAAAAAATAAATAAATAAAAATTTATTTTTAATTTAGGATAACTCTCCAGTATTAAAGCAGCTAAAAGCTAATACTTCACCTCATAGACTTGAAGTCAACGAGAGGATTCTTGAAAGAGAACAAATCATTTTATTTGGGAAATTTAGTGAAACATGTTTCTAATTAAACACTATTAAAGAATAATAATACTATAAACAAAATGTCCTTTAAAATGACAACTTTCAATATTTTTTTTTCTTTCATTTATCCTAAACTTAATCGCCCAGCACAACTTGGAACATGCTCGTTTAAGCATAGAAAAACAATAAGGTAATTTTTTTAAGGATTTTTTGCCCTCAAATATATTTAACACAACTTTTTTATACTCTTAAGAAAACAAAGTTATTTTTTATAGTAGTCATTATTTAATGTCAAAAAAGAAACTTATTTATAATTTCAAGCAATAAAAAAATATTTATATTACTTTTATTCATATATAATTAAATTACTTATAATTGAACTTCTTAAGCTTTGGTACATGCTCTTAATACAGTCAAAGCACAACTTGTGGACTATCAATTTTATTCTTTTTTTTTTTTTTTGTTAAATGATTTGGACATATACAACAAAATGTTTGATAATTAATAAAACTCGTTATCAGAAAGCAACTCCATGGACTTTAAAGTTTTAAGGCTTTTAGCTATGCATGGAGAAAATTATATAATTTCATTTCGCATATACGGGTCTAAAAACTTTTTGAGTCAACAAACGTATTGATTAATATTTTGCGGTCCACATTAATTGATTTATTATTGAAGGGTGGAATCTATGATTCCGACTTTAGTAATTGAAAAGAAAAAATACATTAATCATGGAATTCCAAAAAGGGTGTTGAAGGAAAAAGGGTGGAATCTATGATGGACAAAATTATATAATTTCATTTCGTAGACATGGGTTTAAAGACTTTTTGAGTCAATAAACAAATTAATTAATATTTTGCGGTCCACATTGACTGGTTTATTGTTGAATGGTAGAAACTATGATTCTGACTTTAGTAATTGAAAAGAAAAAATACATTAATCGTGGAATTCCGTAAAAGGGTGTTGAAGGGTGGAATTTCTGACTTTTAGCTATGCATGGACAAAATTTTATAATTTCATTTCGTATAAAGGGGTTTAAAGACTTTTTGAGTCAACCAATGTATCAATTAATTTTTTTGCGGTCCACATTGATTGATTTATTGTTGAAGGATGGAATCTATGATTCTGACTTTAGTGATTGGAAAGAAAATAAAAAATACATTAATCATGAATTCCATAAAGGGTGTGAAATGCGATGTAGGGGCAGAATCATAGATTTCAGATTATCCAAGGAGCCTTTTGCTAATACAAAACATTCAGGGGTATGTTTTCTAAAATCAAAAAATACAGGTAGTGATGCATAATATTGAAATTCTAGGGGTCGTTTATGCAAATTTAATTTCATTTCGTAGACATCGGTTTAAAGACTTTTCGAGTCAATAAACGAATTAATTAATATTTTGCGGTCCACATTGACTGGTTTATTGTTGAATGGTAGAAACTATGATTCTGACTTTAGTAATTGAAAAGAAAAAATACATTAATCGTGGAATTCCGTAAAAGGGTGTTGAAGGGTGGAATTTCTGACTTTTAGCTATGCATGGACAAAATTTTATAATTTCATTTCGTATAAAGGGGTTTAAAGACTTTTTGAGTCAACCAATGTATCAATTAATTTTTTTGCGGTCCACATTGAT